TGTGTGTGTGTGTGTGAGTGTGTGTGTATGTGTGTGTGTATGTGTGTATGTGAGTGTGTGTGTGTCAATCTCATGAGATATATACTTTGACCACACATAGACACATTACCTTGCCTTGTCACTTTTAGCCCTATCTATTTGCAATTAAAAGTACTGGGCGTTCCACTTTTCACACAGGCGCGCTCTGAGCTCAGTTAGTATCAGGCTAGGCTATGGTGCAAAATGACCATGTTTGAGACCCCAACGAGGTGTTCTTGAACTTACGTTGTTTTAGGGATCTTTCAAGGTTTTGTACTTACAGCCAAACCTGCTCTTACAATTACTTGTTCACGATAGATACCTGTACAAACAACCACTCCACCACATCGTGCATTAAAAAAAATTATGAAGACACTGGCCAAGAGGATCAGCTGACTAAGATTATCAATTTTCTCCTCGACAATCAGTCATCGTCTCGGGCAGGTTTAACTGTCGTATTAAAATTTGACTCTCGTCATATAGGTGATGGAAATTACAAATGGTGTGAAGCCCTGCTCCTCTGAAATAACCTCAAAAATATGTTTCTAAAGAACGTTTTAACCCTTTCCATGCCTTTCGATACTTGTCTCACTGACTGTCTACAGTCGAAAACCCTTTTTACTAACTTGTTTCTCTTTCACCTCCCCCGGTTTGCCCTCTTGATCCATCCCTGCCCCTTTTTGACCATCTTACGTACACCATTTTTTTCCCAATAACATTCACCTTCCTACAAATAATACACTTTTGTTCTTTTCCTGCAACAAAAACAATTCTCCGTTTACTTTTCGTAACTTGATTTATTTCGTCCTTTTTAACAAACAAACAAAAAAAACCTTTAAAAAACATATTGACTTTACTGTCTACATTTTTTTGCTATTGTTTCCAAATAAACGTAATGTATCAACAATAAATTGCATATTGTGCTGTAATTTGAAATAAATATCGACACTGTGAAACGGGAAAATATTATACTTCATGACCCATCACTTTTTTTTTTACCCCCAACACATACAAACATTCTCGTACATTACCCTTCCTCCTGCTGTAATGTAAAAGATGCGTCGAGGGCTCCCCCACCCCCCGTATCCCCACCACCACCACCACCACCATTCTCTCTCTATGAGTGGCGGAGCCCCTGTCCACTTTTCAGCTCTGGATGTGAACCGCACCCCTTGGGGTGTAGATCCGGACTGCACGGTCAGTACTACACCATTTTTAATCCTCCCCCGCCCTCCTTCCACCTCCCCGTCCCCTCTCCCCGTACCTCTGTGGGTTTCTTTATTTTGTCGGCTTCACGAGTGAGTGCGCGCGCACATAGCGTATTATTTATTGCCAATCGGTGAGTTGGTATCGTGATATCGTGACAACGCGCGCGCTCCCTCTATTTTCGTCTGTGCGTCGTTGCTATATTACTGTTGGTCACACTCAACTTACGTGTTTTTTGCTTTTCGTTCTTCATCAAACTGGATTGTTCCTAAGGGGGATTGGGGGG